CACACAGAGATTGAAGAGCATAGTGAAACCTCAATACTCCGGGAGTATTGGATTTTAGGAAGTGTAGAACTTCCAAAGTTCAGAAGAACTGAAAGAGAAGTGATGAAAAAAAAATACTAAAAATAGGGCTAAGCTCAGAGGAACAAATTTAAATGGCCAAAGAGACACTAAAACTCAAGTGAGTGTTCGGGCTAGCTTCAATGCACTGGATTGTGGCTTTAAAGATATAAACAACAATAACAAGAGATAATGAGCTAATGAGACAAGAAAGAAATGAGATCTGGTAATATCAAACGTGATACAACTGAAGAAGGTCACTGGGAATAAATTTATAGAAAGAGAACAATAAGAAGAGAAAAGAAGGGCGCCAACTCAACGATAGTTGAGATTTTGAAGTAACAAATGAATCTGGAGATAATACTCTGAAATACAAAGATACTAAATAATAATCTTGTTTTGCTATGTTATATACTGGTTAGTAGAACTGAAATAAAACTCAAAATAACAACAATAAATATATTTATAAAAAATGTATATAGGTATATGTGTATAAACAATTTACATATAATGCAAAGCCAAATAACAGTGGTAGTGGATGGTGTACACATACAATGGGACCTAATAGCCCCTCAACAAACGAATAGTCACTACCACTGGCCAAATAAAATATGAAATATTAGTATAAACCAAGAATAGTCCGTAGGGTAGCCTAAGTCTTAACACTAAGGTTAGTAATTTAGATTTAAATAGTTCTACTAAAATGAAAAATAATTACCGTATTGTACAGATATCAACAATGATAACTGTGTTACAATTATATTATCTCAAAAGTGAGTTCTCAATACTCATTATATATATTTAAAAAAAACCACATTAAATTTATGTCCCTCTCTCAATATCAAATTGTATTATATCAAATGTATTGTATTAACAAAAATATTATATCAAAAAAAAGTGAGTTTGGTCAGACTCTGTATATCCTATTTAAAAACCCAATAAAAACATGTAATGTATTTTCTTCTCCCCAATATTTTAGAATTACTCTTGAAATCCTAATTAAAATAAAACCTCATAAAACATGAAAGGTATTTTCCCTTTCCCAATAATATCAAAATTTGTATTTTATCAAAATGTAGTCACTTGATCATATGCATATGAAAAGTTAACAAAATAGTAACAAAAAAAATTACACAGTCAAACAACTGATCTTTACAGCCCCATAAGTCCATAGGAAAATTCCTCTTGACACGGTAAAATTAGTTCTGGGCTATGATGACAAATCCATGGGAGTACACGGTAGTAAACACCCGGCGCTGGTCTGTCAGGTCCGAGAAATCGGTAACTCCAGAGACAAGTTGCTAATTAGTTTAAGGATTCGAAGTTACCAATATCCTTGAGGGAATATTCTCAAGAGAATACTCTCAAGTGAAGTGACGGAATCTAAAAAGGTTATGTAATTTAATAAATGTAATTTAATAGGTGTAGCAGCATGGATTGACTGCACCAAAACAAAACATCAAAACAGGTTAAGTCAACATGTCAAAATTTCCGAAGTTCATTTCGTAGACGTGACAGGCTTGCGCCATGAAATGAACACGCGCAGAACACAGAAGGCTGTAGAAACCTTGTATATTCCACCAAAAAAAAATTAGATAAAAAGAACCAAAAAAAACTTAATGATAACGATATGGACTAAAACAGAATTTAACTATATAAAAAAATGACCTTCTGTTCTTTGCAAGTAAATCAAGGAAATTTTATATTTAAATTATTTCGGAACTCAAAAATAAATCTCTAACGAAATACTAAACTGCAAGGATAAATTTAATTGAATGATAAAGAGATAATACGTATGAAATGATTTACTTACATGGAGCCGCAGCACGCCAAAAAAATCTTCCTTTTTATGTGGAACTCTTAGATTAGTATTGATTTTAAAAAATTAATTATTATTATTAATATTTCTATTTTATTCTTCCCCAAATTATCTTCCTTGCTCCAATTCCGTCACTTTGAAGGTGAAAAATTTCACCGGTTGACGTGGCTGCGTTGAGTTCTGACCAAAACTGCTTCTTTTCTACCGCACAAAATCGATCTTCCTTTCAAAGCGCTCCCAGCGCGTGGGTGGAGAAATGTCGATTTAAAATCGATCGTAAAGAAATCGAAAAGAAATTTCTTAAGGGGTTAATCAGTAGCGTAAACGCTACAATTGGCGACAAAATAGACCCCTGTCGAACCCCTCTTAAAATTTTAAATTCTTCTATGTTGGTTGATTTTTTCAGTCTCACTCGTGCTTTTTGATTCCAATAGAGAATTTTTTTAAATAGAATGATTTTGCAATCATTTTGTACTAATTCTACAATATCTTGAATTCTAATTATTCGAGTAAAGTTTAGTAAACGCCATTTTCTTTGAATTTTTTAGGGACAATTTTTTTTTTAATTATTTTATCTTTTATTTTACTAACCAGAGCCTTATAAACAATTAAATTGTTAATAAAAATTATTTGACCACTCATATCGAAATCCACCTTCGAAATTCGTAATAAGCAGCCAAAAATACATAAAAAACTTGGATGGACCCATCAGAATTGAAAAGGCCACGGTGGGCTAGCTGGCCCCTAGACTATATACACAGTAGAAAATATTTAAACAGTTTGTAAATATTTTCCTTTTTAACTATGTACTTAAATAACGTTACAAGATATTCTAGTTTAAATGAATAGTAGTAAGAACACGTGTAAAAATTTAATTTTCCATATCTGTAGTATTTTGTATTTTGCTTAATAATGTCTAGACTTACAGAGATATAAGGTCATATTTTGACTGTCAGCGCTTTCAGGGAAAATAAAATAACATATTACGCAATATATATATATATATATATATATATATATATATATATATATATATCATGTCATCATCATGTGCAGCTTTATCGACCGTTTCCAATTACGGTGCAGCCTCCTTTATTTCAATGTTATTCTATGTTCTTATTAGTATTCGACGATGTCTTAGTTATTCGTTGTTCTTGTAATTTGCGCTCATTTGCGTCCATATTTTTCTATCTTGTGCTATTCGAGACCACGTTGTTCCTGTTAATTTTCTTATGTCATAATCCCATCTGAGATTCGGGCGCCTCTTTGGTCTCTTAGCGTTCCTGGGATACCACATAGTTGTTCTAGTGGTCCATCTGTTGTCTGTTTGTCTTGCTATATGTCCTGCCCATTGCCATTTCAGGGATTTTATTCTTTGGATTACATCAGTCACCTGGGTTTGCCTCCGTATCCATTAAATTCTTTTACGATCCCTCTTTGTTATCCCTAGCATACATCTTTCCATTGCTCTTTGAGTTACTTGGAGTTTCGACGTTATTTCTCTCTTTAATAACCAAGTTTCACATCCATACGTCAATACGGGTAATATGCATTGATCAAATACTCTCTTCTTGAGGTATAGTGGCATTTTGGACTTGAACCACGCTTGTTTTATTCGTCCATTTCCGGAAGTAGTGATCCCGATTTATGTATGAGCTGTCCCAGGTATTTGTATTCGTTTACTACTTCTAGCGAGGTTTCATTAATTTTTATTTCCACGTTGGCGATCAGATCATTGCACATTATTTTAGTCTTTGCTAGGTTCATTTTTAGACCTACCTCATTGCTGGCTGTATTATGGTCATTAATTTGTAGTTGTAATTCTTCAGGACTTCTAGCAATTAGAATGATGTCATCAGCGAATCTAAGATGGTTTAGGTATTCTCCATCTATACATAGACCTTGGTTGTTTCAGTCTAATTTCCGGAAGATATTTTCTAAGGTTGCAGTGAAGAGCTTAGGGGATATGGTGTCTCCTTGTCGGACTCCCTTCTGAGTGGGAAATTCTGGGGTATTTTTATATATGCTTACTCTAGCTGTGGCCTCTTTGTATATATTTGCTAGCGTTTCGACATATGGTTTATCTACTCCTTGGTCGACAAGAGGTTCTATGACTGCTCTTGGGTATACGGAGTCAAATGCCTTCTCGAAGTCTATGAATGCTAGCGCCAGTGGTAGATCATATTCTTTTGTTCTGCTCATTACTTCTCTTAAAGTTTGAATATGATCCATTGTGCTGAAGCCACTTCTAAAGCCTGCTTGCTCTCGGGGTTGTGCAGCGTCAAGTGTGTTCTGTATTCTGTTGTTAATGATTTTGGTTAATACCTTGTATATCACAGGCAGCAAGCTGATCGGTCTATAATTTCTGATGTCTTCCTTGCTACCTTTCTTGTGGATAAGGATTATGTTGGCTGAATTCCACTTTTTTTGAAATTGTCTCGATTTTAGGCAGTCTGTGTATATTTTGCTAGGATTTTCCAAGTTGTTGTACCAGCAATCTTTAGAAGTTCGGCTGTAACGCCGTCATTACCGGCTGCCTTGCCGTTCTTCATGCTCTTAAGAACTGCCTCTACCTCATCCACGAGAACATCTGGTACATCTTCTTGAACCGCAGTTTCTTCTTCGCCTATTTCTTGTACTTCCGGAGCTTTATATAGACCCTCGTAGAATTCGGTTACATGTTCTATTATTTCATCCCTATTTGTGATCCTTTCGTTGTTGTTTCAAAATGCTATTATTTGCTTTCTATCGATTGCCAACTTGCTCTTGGTTTTCCTATAGCTTTTACGGTTCTCGATTGTATTTTGTACAAGTCGTTCATTGTACGTTTTTATATCTTCTGTGATCTTTTTCCGTATTGCTTTGCACAGTTCGGTATATTCAATTCTATTAATATTGAAGTTGATTTTCATTTCTCTTCGTTGTTTCAGGAGAGCTGTTGTTTCATCTGAAAGTTTTCTATTGCTGTTGTGTGCTTGTGATCCTCCAACTTCTTTAGCGCAATTTAAGATTGTTTCCATATATATATATATATATATATATATATATATATTATATATATATATATATATATATATATATATATAGTGTATTTTTTGAAGGGCTAAGAATTTCTTTAGGTTGTATGAAATCTACCCCTCACTTGGCTTTGCTAGCAGAATCGGCGCAATATGATTTAAAACGTAGAAGCTTAATATTAGCTACTAAATTTTTAAGTAAGATCATTAATATCATAAAACCATCATTTGATTTTATCTCTTGTTAACATACGGAATAAACTTATAATCAAACCTAATTTTTATAAAGTTCAAATTCTTGGTTAGCGTGAAGTAACCGGAATTCAGGATCAATAGAAACTGACGAAATATTCTATAATATTTGTCTTTTAATGTTATCTGAAGGATTATAAAAATTTTTGCTATTATTATGGTTTGAAATTTTTTTTACTTTATTTCATATGTATGTAATATTAGATCCTTTATTTAATGTTTCACAAAATTGCAAATTTATTTTTCTTTTTTAATCTAAGGTTACGCTTAGTTTGTGCAATTATATGTTGCATACAAATGTTGCATATGTTGCAAAACATACAAATAATTTTTTAGTGATGGTGATGAGTCAAATATGTGCAAAGCTTCCTTACGTTTCTTTATCCATAATGTACATTCTTCATCCCACCAAGGATTGAATGGTTTACCCTGTATCCTACAATTTTTATAAGGAATCGAAACATCTGCTGCTTTATTGATAACTGACATGAATTATTTGTAATTTATTTTATTGAGAAATTTATTTTGCATCTTTCTAAGCAACAAATAAGAATAGTAACGTTTAGAAAACTCCATTTTGAAGGTTTTTATATGACTTAATAAGTTTCTTTTCTTCTCAAATTTGTTTCAAACGCATTACTTTTTGCTGATAGACGAAAAAAGCGAAAATTTACCATTTTTTGGCCTTAATTTGTTAATAATTAATGAAGTCCAAAAAATCGACTGCAGTAAACATATAGGTTTTTATTATAGAGGTCCATACTACTCAAAACAACTGTCGGTTGCCTGGCTAGACGAGTGTCACAAACAGAGTACTTTTTTGGTTATTTTCCTGGTCTACAAGTATTAACTACTAAAATAACTAAATTTATACTTAACTAGTTTGCATAATTTGTGCGAAATATTATGATCAAAATTCTTAAAATTAGGAAGCCAATCTTAGAATTATTGAAAAGATAATGATTTATAATGTGCGTTCTGTAAATTATTCTGCTGCTTTTTTTATTAATTTATATTACGGAAGTATTCTGCAAAATCACTTCAAGAGTAATTAGATTTTTAACTCATAGGGATATCAATTAAATGTTAATATTTATATTTCAGATCAAGTAATTTATATTCATAAAAATATTAGTTATTTATAAATTTATTTCAGGTGGTTGCTGGAACGCCACTAATTGCCAGGAAACAGTCGATCTCTGCCACGAGGAGTGTGTAGGCTGCACCAAAAATTATTCCCCCAAACACTGCAACGTTTGCAAAAATTATGACAATCGTGGAGAATGTGTCAAGAAGTGTCCTTCTGATAAGTAAGTTTCATGTCTTTGATATTAACATTAATAATATTGTCTGTTAACATTATAATATTCTCACATCTATTCATAATAGTTTATTTACATGTTTATAAAACGTTTTTTTTAAGAACAAATTAAATATCATATAAACTACTACAACAAAATTACTTCAAAATAATAACAAAACAAAATCTTCTTCCCTATGTGCCGTCTTCTACCGAAGGTTGGCGACCATCAAACGATAGCTTTCTCTGTTTTGTGCCGCATGTATTATATTCGTAGCTTCTGGTATTTGAAACCATTATCTCAAGTTTCTCAGTCAGGATTTCTTCTTTCTACCCAAACCTGTTCTACCTTCAATATTGCCTTTCACGATAAGCTACAGCAGACTGTACTTATTATTACGGAACACATGGCCCAGGTATGACGCTTTCCTCCTTTTAAAAGTTGTTAACAATTCCACCTTTTTACCCATTCGTCTTAATACCTCTGTCTTGATCACTCTCTGTGTCCAAGGTATTCTCAGTATGCGTCGATACAGCCGCATTTCTAGAGCCGCTAACTTTTTTATAGTTGCTGCTGTTAACTTCCACCCTTCTACTCCGTAAAGTAGCGTCGAGAGTACGTAGCATTTCGTGGCGTGCCATCGGAGGTTAACGCTTAGGTTGCGATTGCTTAAGAGCTTTCTCATTTTGATGAATTTGGATCTTGCTATTTCTATTCGGATCTTAATCTCTACGTCTGGGTTCCACTTATCATTTACTATATATCCCAGATATTTAAGGTGGCGTTTTCAGTAAGATAATGCAAGATGCCTTATTTCTGCTTATACTCAAACTTGGATGCAAGAACACGAATTAGCAACAATTCCGTGGCCAGCAGTATCTCCAGATCTTAGCCCCATTGAAAACATACATGGACTGATGAAGATTGAATTGGAACGAGCAGCGCCACGAGATAAAGAAGGTTTGATTACAGGTCTGGAACACCATTACCGAAAATTATGGCTTTGGCCTAGTTTCGGGTGTACCTGGACGTTTAGCTAAGTGTTTAGATTAAAATGGAGGTTGTATAAGTAAATGAGATGAATTATTAGTTGAAATTTTATATTTCAAGTGATAGAAATAAATACCGTAAAATTATAATTCTGCTTTCTTTTTTCCGTATACTTTCTAGACGGACTATATATAATAATTTCTACTTTTAAACTAACTGATAATAAATCCTAAAATGAGAATATAAAATTCATTTGTGCATGTTTTCTGGGTTACTCGTAAAGTTACCTACACACGAATTCGTTTGAATACAATGTTACAATTCTATACTTTCTACTCGAAAATGTGGCAATACATTGACTTTCTTTATGAGCACTAAAAATGTCCCTGTAGAATCGAAATTAATGCGCACAATAAAGCGGCTTTTACTAGATTAGTTTTCCTTAAAAAATTGTGAATTGCTATTTTGTTTTTAGGGATTAACATTGTTTTAAAGGTAATATTCTATTGAATGATATAGCCTAGGACGAAAAGAAAAGCACTCTTTTCTGTAACGCAAAAATTCTGGTAATAGATCTAGTCTAATGTCCTATTTGTAATATTCTGGCTGTATCGTAGTTCTTGGGTGTTGAATTTATATCAATAGACCAAGCTGTAGAGAGAAAAAACGTACATTAATTAGTGAAATTTTGAAAACAGCATACCGTTATAAAGGGTAATGTCTAAAGTAACCTCCAAGTGTTTATAAGTCCAAACTGTTGGTTATAATTTTTTTATGGCACTTTTAAAGTGCAAAAAAAGGTATTTTTTGATTATTTTTAGTTTTATTGCATCAAATCAATATTTTAGGGTAAAATGAGTAGAATATTGAATGAAAGTACCTACATATGTAAAAAAGCTTTGGAATTCTACTCTGAACATAGTAGCTAATACGTGTTTTAAAATAGGGCTCTTAAAATTAATTTAAAAACTAGTGAAATACTAAAAATCTTTTCGTTAATTAGTGATCCAGTAGTGTAATACCAAAAATAAATACAACAGAGGCAGTAAGTTACTTTAATCATAACAGATTTTACTATTATCAAATATTATGTCGGAATATTATCATTTAACCCACAAAAGCTAGGACAGGTATACCAAACCTGTTCCACTACAGACTACGAAGATTCAAACACCACAGTCCAATATATTTCCATCAAGAAAACAAGCAATTATTTTTGATTCAATTAAAAATGCCAAACTAGATTATTACTTGTCCACTCTGAGTCGTCTGATACAACCAACCCAAATCATCTTCTGTTCAAAATTATCAAATAATAGAGTATGTATATATTTAACAAACGAAACACTAGCTGAGGATTTTATAAACAAAAATGAAAAAATTCAAATAAACCAACAAGCTCGTAGACTAATTAGCCCCAGTCAACGATTAGTATTGTCCAATGTCACAACCTCGGTCAAGAACCGATCGTCTATCGACAACATCTGTGTGACGAATTTTACAGGGAGTACCCAGAGATTAAGTATCTGAATAGAGAATAGCAGTTCAATACTCTGTAATTATAAGAAATAATCTTATCCCAGAGACTAGACGCGATACCATTAGAAGCGAAGTCGAATGGGATATTCATAACCCAGAGCTAGTTGTAAATCAAATCCCTAATGAAATCCGTAATGAGCAGACTCCTGAGCCTCTTATACAAGAAACTCAACCTGTTAATATGCAGCAAGACAATAACGAGTTGCATGATAACCTGGTAAGTGAAATGGCGCGTGCCGTACAAGAGTTAAATGGGACGAACCCTCTTAGCAGACCACCGCTACCAAAAATAAACTCTTGTAAGAAACTAGGTGCGCTGTTACAAATTGTAAACACTGAACACTTTGTGAACACCCAATTACATCGTGGAAGCTCATACATTGGAATATTTGCATATGCTGATTTACTGTGCAGCAACAGCATTTGCTAATATTATGGTTATTAATATCAGAGCAAGACGGAGTACTAATATCGAAAAGGATGATAGCAGAATTGCACCTTTGGAAAAACGGCTAGTGGGAAAAATTGAATCATTGCCTAGGAACGAAGTAGAAAAATCATCAAGAGAGCTGAAGAGATATTGTGGAACACTCCAAGATACTCACAACATGATCCAGAAAATAACACACCGCAATAATGCCTGGAAACATTAAAACAAAAACTTTCCGTTTATTCAGACCGCCTAAGGAGATACAAATTAAGTAAAAACCGAACATAATACAATATACTTTTTTAGCATGCAGAGAAGGCGTTTTATAAAAAACTTAATTTCACTATAGAGAATGAAAATAAATCATACCCAAGCCAAGAAAAAATTCATGAGTTCTGGGGATATCAACTTTCAATGCCAGCTACTCATAACACCAATGCTGGATGGATTAAAGACACAACGAACAACTGTCAACATTACAATAATATTCCTTACGAACCCTTCACCACCGAAGAAGTCTCGAATACTATCAAAGAGCTTCATAACTGGACCAGACGGTGTTCAGAACTTCTGGTTAAAGAAGTTTTGGAGTGTCCATGAGTGTTTGTCAGTATTGATTAATCGTGTTATCTCTAATCCTCAGGAAACACCATCATTTCTTACACAAGGAACCACTTACCTAATACCAAAGGATCAAAATAACACCCAAGATCTAGCCAAGTACCGCCCAATTACTTGTCTTTCAACTTTGTACAAATTGGTCACATCCTGTGTAGCCCGGCGTATCTACCAACACTGTGCTCTAAACAATATCATAGAGTCTCAACAGAAATGATGCGTTAATGGGCTGTAAAGAACAACTTATTATTAACTCAGTCATTTCTAACCAGGCATACACCAAAAAAGAACCTTTTTACTGCCTTCATTGACTACAAGAAGGCCTTTGATTCAGTGCCGCATGAATGGCTTATAGATATATTGAAAATATATAAAGTCGATGATAATCTAGTGATTTTTTAAAGCATATAATGGCAGAGTGGAAGACTAAAATTCACCTTCAAATACCTGGTGAAACCAATATCGAAACTGAAGATATCCCAATTAACCGGGGCCTTTTCGAGGGGGACTCGTTGAGTCCACTTTGGTTCTGTTTAGCGATGAACCCACTATCTCAACTACTGAGCTCCACTGACTCAGGATTTATCATCAAAAATAACAATACTGTTGTGGCGAAGCTTCATCATCTGTTGTACATGGATGATTTGAAATTAATAGCTTCCACTCGAAACCACCTACATCAGATGCTAAAAACTGTAGAAATTTCTCAAATTATATCAGTATGCATTTTGGACTAAGTGCCTTATATTAAATATAGTCAGAGGAAAGGTTCAGCCCGGAGTTTTCGATATGCAAGGTGACCAAAACATTGAGGCAATGGGTGAAAATGATATGTACATATATCTCGGAGTAAAACAAGCGCGGAAAATTAATAATAAACAAATGAAAACTGAACTAACTTTGAAGTTCGTGCGAGGAGTAAGACAACTAAATCGGTTATATCTTATCAGTAAAAATTTGTTTAAGGCATTAAATACGTACGTCTTTTCCGCGCTGAGCTACTCATTTGGTATTATAAAGTGGTCAAAAACGGATATAGAGAATCTTCAGCTGAAAGTAAGAACACTTCTCACAAAGGCGCAAAAACATCATCCACGTAGTGCAGTAGAGAGAACAACATTACCGCGGTATCAAGGGGGAAGAGGGTTTATGGATACAGGTGAGCAATTTGATAAAAAAATTGCTAATTTAAGAACTTATTTTCAGGTACAGGCTAAGAGATTTACTTTTCATCGAGCAATTTGCTCAGTAGGTGATACAACGCCGCTTAAACTGAGGGTACAAGAAATGCACATAAACCACCTGACTCAACAAAAAAAATGCTCACCTGGATGAGTAAACCTCTGCACGGGCGGCATCTCAATGAGATCAGCCAAGAACATGTCCACAATACAGGGTCGAACTATTGGTTGACATCAGGAAAGATGTTTCC